CTATCCAAATGCCCAAAATGTCACAAGCAAACATATGGTATTGGGGGTGGTAAGGAAGGGAAAACAACAACAAAACAGGATACATTTATAGAATACAAATGAGCTATTTTTAGCCTTTTGAAGCTATTCACAGAAAATGACCATTTATTTTACAATTACTATCCCCTTACATCCTCTCCGTCACCAAAATGCCCCCAGGTCTCTGGAGAACAGAGACCTGGGCCTGCTTCCAAGTTCTACAGGTCCCTGTATAAACCGATGACAGCCCCAAGCACGAGCTGCACTGCTTGGCAGTCGTATGGGGTCACCGAAGCATGGTGATGGTGAAAAAGGAGAGTTTGAAATCACACAGACTCACTTTGCGTCTTGCTTCAAACATTTGGGGCAAGAAATGTATCAGTGTGGCCCGTCTTGTACTCTCATCAGTAAAAATAAGATGACATTAATATCTATCTTAAAATATTGTGAGGAATAAATTACATTATATCTGATAATGCATGCAAACCCATTAGCACAATGCCAGGAGCATAATGTGTCCAATAAATGAGATGGTGGTTGTTTATATTCTTGTTTTTATTCTTCCTCTGGTTGCTATAAGTTGCCAGGGAGTGTGATTTAAAGTAAGGCATTTTGCCTTATTCTTTCTGAAACACAGTTTTGTCATTTGCAACTTAGAGACAGTAATTCTTCTCTCCACTTGGTTTAGTGTTCTGTTAAAGCCAAAGGACTGTAGGAACACAATGATATGTTTCTTTTGTTTGTCATAGTTATGATTATTAATATCACAGTGACCTCTGAAATAAGAAGATATGTTAAGAACCATTCCTTCCCTGTGCAGTGGCTCTTGAGCTTTTCTATCTCAACGTGTGATCTAGAACTAAATCTGGGCCAGAGTTTATCACAATCTAAAGGCTCCTTTTTGCAAGTACAAGAATAGCATCGTGTTGGCTAGACACTTAAGACATAGTATGAGACTTGGAAATGGCAGACATTTTAGGCCTAAGTGAATCTTAACAACAATAATAGAAATCACATCTGAGGTTAAAATGATGTTCTTCCCACCAGAGAAAAGACAAAAGGGATATAAACTAGAAACCAAGTTGCATTCCCTAGTGGGTTCATCACACATCTTCTGTGTGAGTCGGGGCAAGCTTTTCTCTATATTAATCCATGCTCCCCTTTCCCCTCGCCCCGCTTTCCTATCCTTCCTTCACATCTCTTTTTCATCCCGCTTTCCTATCTAAAACAAATATGAAAAGGGATATAAAATGAACAAATACGACAAACCCCCATTCTTTCATAGACCGTATATTCTAGCTTGAGAAGTGCCTTAAACATATAAATAAGTCAATAAGTGCATCAATCACTGATTATGAACTCAAAGAAGCAAATTAATAGAACAAATGGTAAATCTCTCTACTGTCTTAAGCTTCTGCCTGAAATAAGAGAAGGATCTCTCCGTGAGGTAGAGAGATTAATAGCTCATAGCAACAGAAAATAATGCTATAAATTTGAAATATAACAAACAAGAGGACAGCAAAACTGATCTGTCCCCAAGTCCAGAGTTCTGTTCTAGCATTCCGTGAGGATAAAACAGGAAGCGAAAAGGGTTTCTTATCCCCTATGCTCTGTTTCTTTTCCTTATTGAAAATGTCCTAGCATCAAGGACTTGATGACTGTGCTCCATGGGCAATCTTCTTTTTTATAAATATCTTGACTGTATTCATGTCCCATCGTCTGGTAAGGGAATGATCACTGTCATAACATTTATCATTAAAGCTAGGAGTCTGATCCTCATGGGTAAGGCCAGGACCCTGTTATGAAAAGGAAATGGGTCTGGCTGGTGTGGCTCAGTGGTTGAGCATCAGCCCATGAACCAGGAGATCTGCAGTTTCATTCCCATTCAGGGCACATGATCCCCAGTGTGGGGTGTGTAGCAGGCAGCAAAGGGAATGTGGTCAGGCCCAGATAGGTTCACTGGTAAATTCTACCAAATGTTTAATGAAGAAATTATACCAAGTCTGTACAATCTCTTTTAGAGGATAGAAACAGAGGAAACACTTCCAAACTCATTCGATGGGGCCAGCATTACCCTAACACCACTAATTTTCAACACTATTCTGGAAGTTCTTACTATTGCAATGAGACTAGAAAAGGAAATAAAAGGCATACAGATTGGGAAGGAAAACATAAAACTTTATATCTGTGGTTTTTTTGGCAGATGACAGAGTTGTCTATGTAGAAAGTGCAAAAGCAACACACACACACACACACACACACATACACACACTCAGAATATAAGGTCAATTGCTTTTCTACAAAATGACAACTAATTTAAAATTACAGCACAATATCTTTTACATTAGCACACAAAATGAAATACTTAAGCATAAATCTATCAAAACATATACAAAAGCTATATGACAAAACTATAAACCCTTAATTAATGAAATCAAAGAGTAAATAAATGGAGAGATATCCCATGTTCGTGGATAGGAAGTCTCAATATTGTTAAGATAGCAATTTTCCCTATAGACTGAATGCAATAAAAATAAAAATCTTAACAAGTTATTGTTTGGATATCAACAAATGAATTAAAAAACGTATATGGAGAGGCAAACGACCTAGAATAGCCAACATACTATTGAAAGAGAGGACGAAACAGCCAACACTCTGCTTTCATTGGAGCACAGGCAGGTTTAACTGCGCCAGCATTTATACAAAAATGTTTCCATTTCACTCCTACCCATTCACTAGTATGTTTCAGCAAAAGAACTCAGGCTGGCCCTTTATCGATTACCTAATTGAGACTTTATTTCTTTCTGCATTGTGACAGCTTTAGTTTTTAAAAAATGCAACTCCACTAAACTGGTATTTCTTGAGCAACTAATATATATGCGTTTCGAGTATCATTTCTCTTCATTCCACTTTTTTACAGCAGTCCCAGAATATACTTTCTAAAATATAAATCAGATAAATTCGTATCTGTCAACTTGGAAATGATAAAACTAAAATGAATGCATGCAGAGACAGGCATTCAGATGCTGGGTAAAATGTAAATATTAAGTGTTGCTGAGAACACTTCATTAAGCAAATGGTCACATAAGTCAAGGAGACTCTGAACAAAGTGAAGTTTCACTGTGTCTGATAATGGCTTTGAAATTGAGGATCTGGCTGTGAGTTCCAATTCTGACCCCGATTCTGTCACTGTGACTTTGGCCAAGTAATAGGACATTTCCTGTTTTTTTTCTTTTTCCTTAAAAACCCAGCATTCTGCCATTTCTCCAGGGTCATCGAGGAGCCCAAAGGAGATGAAGTTTATGACAGACTCCCTTCTTCACTGAGGAAGAATATGTAATGATGCCCTAATTAGTGCATCTTAGAAGAGTTCTTTCCTGTTTCCAAGTCTAAATTTAATTTTAAGCCCATGACCTATTTATGTATAAATACTACTTTCCTCACTTTTAAATGTATGAGGATTTTACTCTTTGGATTCAAAGAAAGTGAAGAGGGGCTTTAAATTTTTAATTTAATTAATAATTGACTTAATGGCACGACATGGACATTTATCTCAATAATGCTGAAAACTCATGAATCAAAGAAATGATACTATATGTGCATGTAGCCGCATATTAAATTTTTCCTACTTGGAAATTTGCAGGCTAAATCACCAGATACAGAAACATACACACAAACGATACTGTTTTTTGTGTGATAACTTTCAAGTGTGCCACCCAACTAGCCTGTGGATTATAAAAAGCCTAACGAAATGTCTATAAGGACATTATTAAAATTTTTAAAAATAAAAAGATTTATCTTCATTTGCAGAAACTATTATTTAATAAAATTATGGTTCTAAAATCTGTACTACCAGACCCAGAATTATTAATGGTAATAATAATAATAAAACATATTACATATAATATGACAATGTATTATATTAGAATACATAATAATATCTTTGTAACGAACTCTAGTGAGTAAATGTCAGCATCTGTTTTAAGAATGAGGAATCTAATAGCAAATATACTATCCATCCATTGAACTGTTATCATGTGTCATACACTGCATAGCTGGTATTTATTGCTTCATCTGATCCTGGTCATCACCCTAACAGTGATGGCAAACCTTTTGAGCTCGGCGTGTCAGCATTTTGAAAAACCCTAACTTAACTCTGGTGCTGTGTCACATATAGAAATTTTTTGATATTTGTAACCATAGTAAAACAAAGACTTATATTTTTGATATTTATTTTATATATTTAAATGCGATTTCACAAAGAAAAATCAACCAAAAAAATGAGTTCGCGTGTCACCTCTGACACGCGTGTCATAGGTTCGCCATCGCTGCCCTAGGAGGAAGATTCCGTACCCACTTTATAGATGTGAAAGTTGAAATTTAGACAGATGGATAAGCGAAGCATCTTACAGTCGATACATAGTAGCTAAATTTATTCTTAAATTTGATATTTCAATTGGCTGGATTCATAGACACTCTTCTTTCCAAACCCAGGATAAAAGCAGCTAGCAGGCAATGGCTGGTTTGGCTCCGTGGATAGAATGTTGGCCTGTAGACTGAAGGGTCCCGGCTTCGATTCCAGTCAAGGGCACATGCTCGGGTTGTGGGCTCCATCCCCAGCAGGGGCGTGCAGGAGGCAGCCAATCAATGATTCTCTCTCATCACTGATGTTCCTATCTCTCTTTCCCGCTCCCTTCCTCTCTGAAATCAATAAAAATACATTTTTTTTTAAAAAAAGCAGGTGGCAGGCCAGCTGTTAAATAGGTGATGTTGTACAAAGGGCCTGCAATTTGTTTTAATCAACCGCAAAATGATGGCTGGGCTTGCCATGTACCTCACACTGCACAGAAAGAACACATTCGAATATTATTGATACAGGCAGTAAAGTACTTAAGCGTAACATTTCATAAACCAAATCCTGAGAAAAGTGTTTCCCTGAAGCAATAACATGGTGAATAGAATTCAAAATTTAGCTCACAAACCTGTTTCTGGCTCGATGGAAAAATAAGGCTGCCCCTCCAGGATGCTGTACACCAACTTGGCGCTGTTGCCATAAACTGGGTCATCAGCATCGGTGGCTGTTACATTAGTGACAGACGTACCTAAAAAAAAAAAAAAAAAAGAGAGAGAGAGAGTGAGAAAGATAATAATTAACACATGATTCTTGCCAAGAGCTAAAATTTGCTAAGCATATCCTACAGAACTCCATGTGTGGGAATAAGGAAGAAAAGAAATCTTTTTTAGGAGAAGGAGATAAACTACTCCATCATAACTTCAACAATATCCGAGTTTTTCAAAAGAAAGAGTACTGCTCGGTTGAAGTGCTATCTAAAGATAGCCCTTTTAGAATCCGTATTCTTGAAGATTTCTTTGTAGTTTTCATTTTTAAGCTACCTCTCCGACCCACGTAGGCATGGAGACTATTGAAAAGGAAGCATACCAAAGAAATATGAAACATAAGCTTAATAATACAATAGCACATGCAGCATTGAAGTTTTGTAAAAGCACAACTGAAAATATTTTTAAAATGGCTGCTGGTAAAAGCTCTACAGAGATATTAAAAGGGGTAGTTTATCCATCTTATTCCATTCCTCAGAATATAAAATTAGATGGGGACCCCCAATTCATCAGCACGCTCAAGGAATGAGGCCTCATGGCTAATAGAAGAACACCTTCTAATTATTTTTCAGGACAAATTATCTTTTATTCTCTCATTCATTCTGCAGGAAAGCACATATGGCCTGCCTGATATAAAGCATATATACTAAGACAAAATGGCAGTTTGGTGGGGGAGGAAAAGTTAGGGGCAGACAGCTACACCGGGAAATTCAGCTGAAAGCAACAGCACCAGATTTGGACCCCCCACTTAGTCCAGCAGAGGGAGTGGCCAAGGACAGCTTTCTAGGAGAGGTAGCCTTTGAGTTAAATTATTCAAGACAGGCAGAGTTTAACCAGAAGTAGAGGTGTTTGGGAGACATGCTGAGCCATCAGTCAAATACAAGTGAAGGCAAAAGACTCAGAGAGACGGTGGGTAATTCTGCGAACGGCTGAAACTGGGGAAACATTGGAGATGTCTGGTGAGATCACAAGCATCACCTTCTACAAGGGCAGGGTCGGGGTCGTCCTGACCCAGGAGGTGTGGGGCATATGGTAATTAGCAAACGTATATTGGCCCTTGGAATGAGCGGATGAATGAATAAGCCCTGTGTCGATTTCATGAGGAATGGGAGGAAAGCATCACAGATGAATGTAGAGCAGCCGTGGGCAAACTACGGCCCGTTTGAAATGAATAAAACTACTGAAATAAAAGACCGTACCCTTTTATGTAATGATGTTTACTTTGAATTTATATTAGTTCACACAAACACTCCATCCATGCTTTTGTTCCGGCCCTCTGGTCCAGTTTAAGAACCCATTGTGGCCCTCGAGTCAAAAAGTTTGCCCACCCTGATGTAGAGTCTGAGATAGAAGAGATTTCTTGCAGAATCTGTATTGGGGAATCCTCTCTGATCAGTATCTTGGGGAGGCAAAAGGATGATATTGAGCTGGACGTCATTCCATCACTTGGGCTGTGATGCCATCACATCAAAGGCCTCCGTGGACTCCCCTGGGGACTCTAGAGCTAGGATGTCATTGAGGAAATGAGGCCAGGCTTTTGGACCCCAGTACCGACCAGCTGTTGGCTACTGGAACGTCCCTGGGAATGCAGGCTGGGCCTGGGGCCAGACAGCTCCCTTCCCCTGAGGGAGAATCAGCCCTGAGCGGTCAATATCGACGCTCCCAGCAATGAGGGCAAGACTGTTTCCAACCAGACAGAAGTCATAGGTGGATCTCAGCAGCGTACTTCTGTGTTTACTGGAATAAGGCAGAGCTTTGCCAAGATCTTGCCAAGTCAAATCTTTTTGGAAGCATTTTTGATGACGGACGCTCCCCAGGAACATGTAACAACAATATTTGTTGAGCAGTTGATAGGCCTGTCAAATTGGAATTCCTACTCAGAAGGATGATTCAGAGATTCTACAAAATCTACAGTGAGAAAAAAAAAATGTGCTGAATGCCTTTCCACCAGGCACTGGGAACCATATAGAAAAACAAACTTAAGGCTCATGTTCACAAGCAACTCATCAACTAGCTGAGTAAAACGAGCATGCGAAAGCACAATGTTTGTAGTTATTTGAATACTGTATGGGATGGAGAAGAATTAGAGGAAAAACTTTCCAGGTGAGGGGAGGATAGTGAGATAAAAGTTCCAAAATGCTTCTTCAGAGAAGACATGACTGGAAGGGTCAGCCATCAAAGCTAAATTTGGAGATGCAAACTGAGAATAAGATGCAGGGGGCATGTTTTGTTGTTGTTAACCCTCATCTGAGGATATTTTTCCATTGATTTTTAGAGAGATTGGGAGGGAGCAGGAGAGACAGAGAGAGAAATATCGATGTGAGAGAGACACATCGATAGGTTGCCTCCCATCTGCGCCCCCATCATGGGACAGAGCCTGCAACTGAGGTACATGCTCTTGACGGGAATGGAACCTGGGACCCTTCAATCCTCGGACCCACACTCTATCCACTCAGCCAGTGTGGCTGGGCCTAGAGGAGGCATTTGAATGCCAAGATGGGGAGCGCTGGCTTTCAAGAAGACGTTTCATTAAGAGAGCAGTCTACACCGTGGGCCTCTCTCTCTCTGTTCGTGCTCCCAGATTGGACTGGAGGCAGAGATGTAGATGATTAGATCAGACAAGTTATGCTTACATATATATATGTGCCTAATATGCAAATTGTCCCCACAGGAGTTCAGCCAGGAGACCAATTGCTAGCTATGACGTGTGCTGACCACCAGGGGGCAGTGCAGAATGAAGGAAGGCCCAGGCCAGCAGCTGGCAGCTGGAGAAGGGAGGCCCCGGCTGGCAGCCAGGGAAGGGAAGCCTTGGTCAGCAGCCGGAAGGAAGGACCCAGCCAGCACCTGGAAGGCTCTGATCGGCCCTGATCACTGGCCAGGCCTAGGGACCCTACCCGTGCATGAATTTCGTGAACCGGGCCTCTAGTAAGGGGATAGATAGCAGCAGTCCAGGAAAGAAGAGATGAAACATTAACACTAGATCATGACAATAAAGATGGACATCACTGTGAATTTTCTCCTTTTGGCCCTGTCCTAAATGTATGTAAGATGTCCCACTGGGGGGTAAACTGAGCAAGGGAACTATTTTTGCAAATTTTCTCTGCGTCTAAAATTCATTCCAGAAAAGTTCAAGAATGAATTTAAGAGTCACTGAAAGAACCGACAGAGACTGAAGGGAGGGGTGAACTCCTCTGTGGGGAAGACCATGCCCCCACTTGTTGTTTTGCTGTGGTTGTTGCTGTCTTGGGGTTTTACTTTGATTTTTTTAAAGGAGAAATGTTGTACCTTGTTGTGGAGCATTATCAGAAAAATAAAGCCAAGTGCTCTACTCAGTATGGTGTGACATTCGTGAGTGTGAACACGCGGTTCCATTCACTGCAGAAAGAGAACTGACCAGAGAGTCTAAAGTTCCTGTCATTAAAAAAAATCCCTGTCATCACCAAATAAAGGTGACCCTTACATTAAAAAAATTAAAAAGTGTCTTTATAGAGAAAAACACAAATATGGAGAGTTTCTAAACAAAGCCAGAATTCCTGTGTACATATGTGGGGTGGGCATCTAGGGGCAGAGTAGCTGGGGGTTAATAGTTTTGCCAATGGAATATTTATCTTCCGAAACACTTAACCTCTATCTCTTTGGGCAAATCATTTATCCTGTCTTAGTCTCAGATTTCAGATCTACAACATGCATTAGAGTTATTATGAGAAGGATGCATGGAGATTATGTCTTGTTAAGTGAGAGTTGGGGAAAGTCCCTAGTGAGTTTACAACCTCAAGACTGGTCATCATCATGTCTATTTTCGCTGATTATGGTAATGGAATGCTCTCTTACTGTGAGAGGCATCCCGTGGTCACATCAGCACTGAGGTGGGAGGAAGGAGAGAAATCTCCGTCATTTGCATGATCTGTGAGTCAGTCTTTTTCATGCGTGAAGACTGTAATTTTTATTCTGCAAAGTTCAAAAGATTTGTGTGAGGATCAAATGAGATAATATTAAGTATAAAAAAGTGACTGAGGAGATCATTTGGAGCCAAACTGTCTTGAGCCAGATCATTTGCTTCATATTCCACTCCCCACTCTCACTTCCCCTGTGTCCTCTGCCAAGTCACAAAACATGTCTGAGCTTCAGTTCTGCAATTTCAAAAGAAGGAAGGTGGTAGTCATTGTTACATGTTAGGCTTGTTGAGATAACTAAATGTAATAATTTATGCAAAAGATACAGAAGAGTTAGCCACATGATATTTCTGAGAGCTTCCCTTACATGTGGGAGACTAAATAATCAACTAATTTTATTCCAGGCTGGTGTGGCTCAGTGAGCGGTTACAGTTCGATTCCTAGTCAGGGCACATGCCTGGGTTTCGAGCTCCATTCCCCAGTGTGGGACATGCAGGAGGCAGCCAATCAATGATTTGCTCTCATCATTGATGTTTCTATTTCTCTCTCCCTCTCCCTTCCTCTCTGAAATCAACAAAGATATCTTTTAAAAAATAAACTACTTTTAAGAGGTGGTGATGTCATATAAAACTAAGTATAGTTCTGCCTAATTATTTTCATAGTAGGATATTTTCTTATATTTGGTGGGGGCGGGGACACAAAAACACATTTCCAAATTTAACAATATGTTCATGTCCTTTTACAAAAACACACACACACACACACATACACACAATCTCACATTGTCCCACCCCACCCAGCTCCTGTCAGTTTCCTCGGTGTTGTAAAATGGCTGTGGGCTCAAAAATGCGTTTTGATGTCGTCAGCACCGAGTCAGGCACCGGGCACACGGTCAATGTCAGTTTCTCCATGTTATCTGAAAGGATGTCGTCGCTATCTCCCGGCCCGTGCAGATCCCACACACACTTGTCAAGATGAATGACTGGGCTGGGGACCGCAAAAGAACTAAGGCACGTTTCTCCCCACATCCTCATCCAGGCTATTCCTGCCTGACACCCGGCTTCTTGGCAAACCGGCATCTTTCAAGGTTA